ACCACCCCTAGGGTACGCCTCACTGTTGCCTTGCCTCGAAAGGTGATCGTCGAGTAGAGGATGTCTTAGTAAGTCCTCATGATCCGGGAACCTGGCATGAGGGTAGCTTCTAAGGTATCTTCCTATTGCTCTGGTGATCACCATGTCCCGAACCTCGAATTGACCCGAACACCTCCAACGGTGGTGCTACCTACCTCTCAATGGTGGGATGGCACTACTTTAAAGGACATTTACACAGACGAATTCCTTAGGGTAGGTAGATAACTCTAAGATACTTGCTCTAAATTTCAAACAAATCAAAAATACTTTTCACACCAACACATTTTCAAAAAGCTTTCGAAAGCAATTTTTCAAACACTCTTGAGGACCGATACAAGAGTCGAACTGGAATTTTCAAAGAAACTTTTTAAAACCCACAGTTGAAAAGCAAACAAACCATTTTTGAAAACACAAATGAGCAAGTATCTAAGAGCCCATGGATAACCATGGATAGAAAGGGTGCTAACACCTTCCCTTTCTATAACCTACATCCCGAACCGAGAGCAATCTCTATAAGGAATTTTTCTGTGCTTTTGTCCTTTCCATTTGGAGAAAATAAAAGACGGTGGCGACTCTTGCTTCCGCGACATTTCGCGAACCAGCGTTAAACAGTCAGTTCCAGATCCACCGATCACAGTGAAGAAATAGGAACAACGGAGGTTGTAAACGCATCAGACACAACCTGTCCAGAGGCAGAAGGAGTCCGGAATGCCTGGCTCCTTTCCCTCTGTACAGAAGCATGATGTGCAAGCCTGTCGTGTCTCAATCTAGATGGTCTCTTATCCATTACTCTTGTAGAAGAACAGAAGAAAAAAAATGTTAACAATAAGACTTAAGTTTGAAAAAATGAAAAAATGCAGACTGACTAAAATTGGATATGCATTTCCGGTTTTTGATGTAAACGTTGAACAAAACCGAAAATACATATTTGGTACGACCAACAACTTTACAACTTCACCAATGACGAAGCTCAACCCCAATGACCTCAAAAAAATGGTCATTGGTCGTAAAAAAAATACATACTAACATGTTTCTTATGACTCTTAACATTGCAAACACTAAAAAAATTGAATTTTTGACCCTAAAACAGAATGTGTAGGTAAAATTACATAAACTCTAAAAAGCTCAAAAACAACTTACAAGTGATGATTTTTCTTGCTTGAATCTGCTTGAACACTGAAGTTTATCTGATGATTAATGATTCTTGATTAGTTTTTTGCAAAATGGATTAATTATGATACAATGAGATTCGAGAGTGTTTGATTTTTGTGTGCGACTGATTAACTTTTCAAAATGATTCTGAAAATGAGAAGGGGAAGAGTCAGTACGCGTTTAAGTGTCAACATGAATCGGAAATACAACTATGGTGCCAACCATAAATGCATTTACGGTTTGTATTTGCGTGTTAGCTTGAACTTCTCAATCTTAAAAATTGTGTGCATTTGAGGCGCTCCCGAAAATACAATTACGATTTCATCCGTAGTTGTATTTTCGATTAGTTCTTAACAAATACATAGGGTCTCGTTCACCAAAATCCAAATTTGGATGTGTAACGGAAATATATTTCTGATTTTCATGAATATTTTTGTATTTTCGTATGGTGCGCTGGAAAAATATAGATCGATTAAGAAATTCCTATAAATTATCTTCTTTCTCGATTTGAAGGAAGACTTTTATGGAGAAGGCTTGATTTGCTAAAAAATCCTAATTGTTAGACTTAGTTTCCTGATTTGATTTAGGATTTTGTTGATTTGTTGAAGCACTATCATCATGTTTTTCTCTCACTACAAGGCCTTGTGAGTCTCTCACTTGAACAACACGTTTTCCTTCCTCTCTCTTTCGCCTAAAAGTTGACCTTTCTCTTCAGAGAAGTTGTATTGTATCTTTCAGGATGGTAATTTGTTTTAAGGTGACATTCAAGTTGACCTTTCTCTTCAGAGAAGCTGTATTGTATCTTTCAGGATGGTAATTTGTTTTAAGGTGACATTCCAGTTGGCATTTTAGAGACCATTAAAATTGGTCACAGAAGGTTACATTCCAACTGGCATACATGTTGGCCTCCACATCAATGTCATGAAGTCTACTTCCTCACTTTTGACTAACAGATTAGTCCAAAACATCTAAGACCACTTAAAATGGAAGTGTTGAAAAAATTACTCAATAGTTAAATGGTTGTAATGAGATATTAAATGAGGTGTTGAAAATGATGTGGATTAGTTGGTGTTGAAAATATTCAACATATTGAATAAGGAGGGAGTGAGAACCACATATAATACTTTGCAAAATCTTATTGGTTGTTGTGATTGTTTAAATTTTTATCTCACCTTAATTATTTGGAATCAATTATTTTATAGTAAATCAATTTTTAACTTATTTTTATTTTCACCGAAATTTATCATTTTTTTTTCTCTATAAATAGAGACTTGGTTCATTAGATTTGAACACGAAAAAAAATCAAGATTTTTCTCTCTAATTTTTCTATTTAGCCCAATAAACTCTTGTTTGTAACTCTAACCATGTTTTAGTGAAATAAATCCCAACAATAACTCTTTTAACACCCAAAATTCTACTAAAATATAAAATTAGAAAAATAAATTCAAAAAGTTATTAAATTAGAACATTAATTAAAATAAATTATTTAATTTTTAATTATTTTAATTTAATTTCAATCAATAATTGTTATTGGGTCTTGCTAATCAGTGCCCTCAGGACACTCATTAAACATTCCAAAAAGAGAAAATATTTTATAGAAAGTTTAACCATTTCAATTTTTAAGACATTTAAATACGCAGATTTTCAAAATAAATTTTACTATTTTAAGGTTTTAAAGAGTGCCTTGAGGATATTGGTTAGCATTTCCTTTGTTATTAATATATAATCACAAAAATAAAAATATAAAGAAAATAAGAATATGAAATAAAAGTGGTGGAGTAGGGTGTTGAATTTTATTAAACAAAACCAGTGTAGTGAATAAAAATTGAATGAGTGTTGAATTATTAAGTGGAAGAGAGAGAAGATAATGTGGAGTGTAAAAAGTGAAAAAGGAAGGTGTTGAATCCCTGAACCATTGTACATAGTCTAAGCTGAAAGTTTTGGAAAAAAAATAGGAGATTTCTTATTCCAACCCATGTCCTAAAATAAGACCCTTTGCAATTTCCAAAATGTCCCTCTGAAATCGGAAGTATACTTCTGGTACGCACCTTTTTTTCTTAAAAATAATTGAAAATCGAAAGTATATTTACAGTTGTAAACAACAATATATTTCTGATTTTAATGCTACCAGTAGCAAGAAAAACTTAGACAGAGTAATGTCATTTTTTCTCGTTGTTTCGCATTAAATACAAAGACATGTACAATTCATACAACCGAGACGATTGGAACAAAGACATATATATATATATATATATATATATATATATATATATATATATATATATATACACATCACAAAAAGTGTTCGTGGTCGATAAAGGGATAACCCAAAAATATAATCCAAATACAATAATAAAAAACAAGAACCAAAATACAAAAACATCATCAAATACTACTGGATATGGCGGATGATGAGTCAGTCTGTCACATTTGAGGCGTTCCTCTGCTGTCTTCTGTAATACTAAGCCTCCTGAGCCTCCGTCATGATGGCATCGAGAACACCTCTAACATCGGATCCATCAAAAAACAAACCTCTATCAATACCCTCTCGTGCAATATCCATGATACGATGACACCTAGGCAATACGTCAGTGGCATGATTGGCCCTAGCATGCTCGTCCTCTAAGATATCTTGATGAACTGGCCTCGGTGGATTCCCGGGAGCATCATGTACCATGTATGGATGGGATGCCCGGAAGAACCATATCATGTAAATGTACTTGTAGCTTCAATCGTCTAGTGCTATGGTACTCCTGACCTCATCATGAGCAAGATGATTCTCAAAATCATCTAACAAGGCATTTATATCTCTTGTTTCACCGTCGAAGGAGCAGATATAGAAGGATTCTATAGAATGGTCTGGATTTATCCGAACTGACGCATCACCCGCTCAGGCATATAAGCAGTTGTCTTGTGAGTCCCACAGACCAACCAACCTGTAAACAACGCAACCTCGTTAAATGGTATCGCCTCATGGTGGTCGACGTATGAACGGGTGTGTATGTCCTCATACATCATTCAGTTAATGTATATCTGGAACGACTTTGTCGCCTGGTTCCTTCATAGTGGGTCGTATGCACAGGCACGCGACTTATCTTTCCTATAACCAGATGCAAGTGACTGACTCGAAATATCGGGAAAGTGTTGTAGGATCCATCTCTGAAATAAAAAAATTAAATAATTAGTTCAAGGATCCATCTCCCTCGTATTCCACTTAATTCCTTCATCCAACTTCGTATACAAGTAAACCAGGCAAGCAGCCCCCCAGTTCCACTGGTGGATCGTCTCAAAATCATCAAAATACTGCAGGTAGATGATATCAGTGTAAGTGGCACTAGTGTCCACAAAAATTTGTGTGCCAACAAGATACAAAAGGTATGCCCTCATAGTAAACCTCATGTGAATCGTAACCTGCTCGGGATCACCATGAGCATGTTGTACATGCTTTATCTCAATCGTGAACACCGTATCCAAATAATTATACTTGACGTGGCAACCACGGGTTCTATCAATCTCAACCATGGCACTCTCAGGTGTAACTCCCAACTTCTCAACCAACATATCCAGCGCCTCCATCCTCTCATGATTCAAGAATTTCCCTTTAATAGGAAGATGCAGCAGACACGCGACGTCGTCGAGTGTGATCGTCATCTCACCATGTGATAGATGAAACGACAACGTCTCATGGTGCCACCTCTCAATGAACACGTTAATCATCCCCCAGTTGACAATGATGTATCCACACATGATCAAATCTTTCAACCCTGTAAGCAATAAAATCTCAACAAATCATGGCTCAACAGAGGATACTAGTCTACTGATCTTCCACCCATAGTTAATGACCTTGAGCGTATCACGTTCCTGCATAAATATTTTGACGGATTTAATCAACAAATCGAAATTCAAAATTCATAACATAAATGTAATAAAAATCAAATTCGAAATCTATACATGTTTGTCTCAAATATATCTAGCAACATGGCCTGGGTAAAGAGGAAGAAGAGATAAATCAGACGGTCTTCCTCCAAAATCCTAAGACACCGCAGGTGCAGCCTGTGCAGGTGCAGCCTGTGCAGGTGCAGCCTGTGCGGGTGCTAGCTCAGGTGCGGCCTCATGAGTCAACTCAGGTGCCTGGGATGATTGAGGAGCCGTCTCAGGTGTCATCTGAGTCTGAGGTTGTGATGGTGGCTGGGCTGGGTCTCTGGTGTCGCCTGAGAACCGAACGTCTCTCCCGTCTCAAATGTACTCGGTGGAGAAGTATGTCTGCGGGAGGACGGGGGTGGAGACAGATGAACTGGAGAATCCCGCCTGCTGCGGGAGGACGACGTAGTAGGAGTAGAAGCATGAACATCAGAGGCTAAAGTTGTAGGAGGTGTATCCGGTACGGCCTGTCTAGAGGCAAGAGGAGGCAGGTTTTCTTGAGTCTTTTCTCTCTGCACAGAGGCATGTTGTGCAACCCTGTCGAGCCTTAATTGAGATGGTCTCTCAACCATTGCTCCTGTAGAAGTACGAAAAAATCGTTAACATAAGAACCAGCGTTCAAAACAAAGCTGAAAACAGATACATACTAAAACCGGAAATACACTTGCGGTTTTGTTCTTGATAAAAACCAAAAATGCATTTACGATTCCTAATGCGGTAACAACATGATGTTAGTGGCTTCCCTGCCCCCCAAATGAGCTCCCAAAAAACCTATTGATCATAAAAATGACATTGCCAACACCTTTCTAATGATTCCTAATATTGATAAGAAACTACAAAATCTCAATTTCTAACCTAAGTCACACATTTGAGTGGATTTTACATAAACTTTAAAAAGTTCAAAAACAACTTACTTGATTGACTATGGTTGATTTTCCTTGATTGTAGTTGGATGCTTGAGAGACAAATGCTTGATGATTTCTAACAACTTGGATTGCAATTGTGGTTGATTTGGTGAAAATGAGTTTGAGAGCATTTTAGGTGATTTTTGTTTGTTTTTGAATTGATAGATTGTCTACATTGTTCCAACATTGTTCATGTCTAATATAGTGCGAATCGGGGAAGTATATTTTCGATTTTCAAAAACAATATTGAAATTTCATGTGATGCATAAGAAAAACATAGGGAATAAGAAATCCCAAAAAAAAATATTATCCACTACGAACCCACCTAATAAATACGATTATCACCAATGGCCAACTGCTAACAGTACCCCCTCTAAATATCTAATACTTTGGAACCAAAATGACTAGTTGGAATAGTTAAGTTACCATAATCGAATTTAACCTGAACAACTCTTACTCAGAGTCTTAGGTTCAGTGATCAACTTCCATTCCTCCTTAACTTTACAAAGTGTCCTAAGAAATTAAATGACACTTCTTAATATTAGAAGTTGATCCCAAAATATGATCCATGCAAAGCCTCTCCAAATCATTAAAAATAGACATAGATGTCGCGTCAGATTGCATCACATAATTCAAAAGACTCGTTATACAACTTTGAGCAAGAATAATATTTACTTGCCAAGATCTTTCATGGCCTCAAATATTCAAGATATTATTCGAAAAGAAAACTTAGACTTGTAGGAACTAACCTGTTGACCTGGATGTGGCAAAAATCATCATGGATTTCCTTGCTCTGGCTTGCTTGCAGAGGAGGCCTCAGGCACAACAAGCATCATCAAGGATCAATTTGATTTCATTATATTTTCATTCCGCTTAATCATACTCATTAATATAACCCGATATCGCAATTTTTCCATTCGCTCAAACAAACATGACAAATCACCGCAAAAGCTCAATATTTTCACCACATTGAAGCTTGTAATATATTACAACAATTCAACTCATTGCTCGAGCTGTGTTCCAAATTGAAACACGGTGAGAGCTAGAATTAAATACAACAAAGGAGGAACTGTTGATCCTCATAAAAATTTGCTAATCCAGGAGGTCACTCTATCTAGTGCCTAAGTATAATGCAAAATATTAGCAACCACATATGTTACAAAAGCAAGCTTCTGCCTGGGTGTATATAATAAAACTAAAAAAAATAGTTTTCCTATCCAATGTGTTGGCTGAAACTCTACAGGCTAATTGCTATCCATAGCAGAGACAAAATTGCAGATATAATAATTTGAAGTATCAAATCTGAATGCCTGCCCATCTGGACAAAACAGCACTATCATGTGTCATTAGAACAACTCTGAATATATCTGCATAAATAACTGAGGACAGTTGCAGCCAGCATCCTTCTTTCCCAACAAGGAAATGACACAGTACATGAACATGATTTTGCCGAAACAGAGAGAGATGCTTCAGAATACAACAGCTTTCACTGCCTTAGGACCAAAAATGCTGCTCTAACTTACTTCAATTTATTCTAGGTACAAAATGCGGCAGTAAGGGCGTCTAAAGCTGTTATAGTCTAGAGATGTAATATCCTCTACTCTGAATCTGAATCAATAGAAAGATGCAAGCGGGGCCTTACTGAACGTTTTTGACGGGGAAATGAGAAAGGGCCATGTGATCTTTTCCTACTTTCTTTGTCAGACCCGGCATCGCTCATACCAAGAGGCAAAGAAGCTGCATGAAAAAAAAATAAGTCAAGAAAATTAGTGAAGAAAAAAGGCATTTAGAATCACTAAATTAGAACATGAATAGTAAGAATACCCATGTTTTGAAAACGATTGGTCTGTAACTAGTGGCAACATAGAAGAACAAAACACAAGCAAGGAGATGAATCAATAAAAATGCACAATCAAATACAGCTAGTGTTTGGGCTAGAGATCAGGTTCCAGGTTTTCAAGATGCACAAAGTCACCATTAACTTTCCAAGAGGCAAACAGATGATAGCCTTTGGGACATTTTATGACAAAGACCGCAGCATCATGATTTAATCAGGGCATCATTCTTTGTACCTCCTCTCCCTATGGTTAAATATTTGCTTGTGTGAATGAGCGAAATACTTAACCCTAGCAAGCAATTAACAGCATGTTTTTAAACAGAGACTAGCCAATAGTAAAACACGCAAAAGGATACAAATGCAATTTGTATTAACAGGAATTTTAAGAAACCAAATTGGTATTGATTATATTGATCCAGAAAAAATAATCTCCAAGTAATTAGTAAATGGGATATCTTAAATCATCATGAACTATTTATGTAGTTTAGTAGAGCACTATTTCCTTTTATGTAGTTTAGTAAAGCACTATTTCCTCCTTCATAGAGGCATAAACAAACTTGATATGGAGCTTAGATAAATCTTATTGATCACCCATGTAAAAGAATTAAGGAAAATATCTTTCTTTCCCAAAAACCTAATAACACATTCATTTAAAAAATACTGAAAGGCAAAGAACACGAGGACAAAGAGAAGAGTAGTTTTAGAGTTGATAGTATTTTTTTTCTAAGAATTCCTACAATGATCTAAATGTATTTGCTTCAGTGGAATAAGCAATTGGTTGTTTCTGCACTTGAAAATGTGAATGATACTATGACCCAGTAACCACCATATGTAACAAAAACACAGAAATAACTTGCACACAAAGTATGAGATTTAGATTCAGAAAGTAACAAACCAGTATCAGTTAAAGAATCGGTAGCATCTTCTCTGGATGTAATCTGCGGTCTGGAATTCAAATCATTTGGTGTTGAAGTATCACCATTACTGCCACCAGCCCCACCCCCAAGCCTAAGAGAGACCCAATCCTCTGTATATACACCATTTGACACACCATTGTCATCTCTTAATTCATGCTGCACAGATGATTCTGCTGGTCTTGTAGGGAGAAAAATCTGAAGCGACGGATCCTCTCCACCAAATGCCAATGGATTGTCAACTAAGCCACCATTTAAATCAGTGTCAGGTGGACCAGTGGATGAATTAAGTATTAGAGTATTAGATCCCAAACCAGTGTTTGGAGCCAATGTATAACTATTCAGTGATGAGGAGCAATTAATATCACCATGGATCAATGCATCAGACACATCCACTTCAGAACTGAATAGTTGGAATCCCGAGGTTGCCTGAGTTTCAGAATGCAATGGCCAGAGGGAGGGAATCCCAAAATCACCTTCACTGGGATTACCAAAAACTTCTAAGCATGGATTTCCACCAATATTGTGTTCTTCTGCATATGGATCAATAATTCCAGGTGGAGGCACTGAGTAAGCATCAACTGGATCGTCAGTTTGATTATTATTGCAACCAGCTGTAGGAGATAATAATATATCATCATCTTCAGAATCACTAAGAACAATAACTTCTGCATTAGCCATTGGAGCAGAAGTGTTAGGAATAGTATATCCATAAGTTGAACCAGCATTAGTATGACACAAAGAATCTAACTCAATCCCATTGGTAGTAGAATATTCTACATGCCCACCGCCGCTCTGATTTACACTTTGATCATCGCCATCCATTCCACTTCCAGTGCCACTGCTGCTCATCTGAATAACCACAACTTCATTATTTCCTAAATCCGCATTCGACCTATCATCAGAAGAGGTGTTTGTGTCCTTGGGTTTGCTAACTTCCCAAACTCCATTACAATTTTTCCTAATGCCTAGTTTTATGCCGGTAGGACTGTCTGAAACCCCTTCCTTTTTGACATTCAAAGTTTCCACTCTCTTGTCTTCTCCACTAGTAGAAACAGAGAGGGAACCGTCAGGAGAGTGCCATTCAGCAAGATTCCCTAACTCACGGCGTTCACTTTCATTCTTAGCCTTGACACGCCAATAACCATCAGGCTTCACCTCCACCTCAGTAAACTCCTCCCCACAGTTTTTCATCTGTGCCAGAAAACCAATTTCAACAATAAGTACTGGTTCGTGAGACTTAAATGTGTGTGTGTGTACGTGTGTGTGTGTGTGAGTGCATGTACGTGTGTGTCAAAGAGGAAAACATTACCATAGAAGTGATGCGGTTGAAATAAGGATCAATAATGATATTCTCCAGAGCGTAGTTTTTGAGACATATGGGGCATTGCCACTGCAGAAACGATTAATGCTTCATTTAACACTTATTTTAAAACCGGGAAAGGAATAAGATAAATCATGCACAGTTTCCGAGGATTTTACCTTTCTTGAACGTCGATTCATTTCCACAAAAACTTCAAGATCAAAACAACCTATGTGAACACAAGGTTTGAATCTTCCTGCAACCTTTATTCTTGAACCACTCATCTACAGATTTCACAAAAGCATAAAATTTTTAAAACTTTGAAGACTGGTTTGTAAAATTTTCTGAATTACTAAGATAATCTAATACATTAAATTAAAGCCTTACTGGACAACGAAGGTTGATGCTAATAGTATCTGAAACCACTTCCAGATCACTGTCACTATCAGCTTCGCCTGCAGAATTTCCACCCCCAACACGACAACAAACGCGTGCAAGAGCATCTTCAAAACGCTCACCATTGAACTCCTTTGGAATCATGTTCAGGATCTAGATACCAAAGAAGACTAAATTATTTAATTTAATGGCAAATATGGAATAAATTATGGATCAATCAAAACATAGATGCTTTAAAAAATAAACATACCAGCAAAAGACATTTCAACAGAATAGACCAAAAGAACACGTCCTTATTGAACTAAATCCCTCTCTTACTCAAGGATTACATGCTTGTCTTTAGGAGAGAAGCATTTTTAATTTCCCCTTATTATTTATGTTTTCACTCTTGTGTTTCTACCCATTTAAGAGGATACCTTGGTTTCTCTCTTATGTTTCTACCCCTTGTAAATTGCTTTATTTTGAAAATATGCACACATCCTTATTGAATTAAATTTGTATCTTACTCAAGGATTACATTGTTTGTCATAGGCTTGGAGCATTCTTGGTTTTCCCTCGTTATTTATGTTCTCTCATGTTCCTACCCCTTGTATATGGTTTTATTTAGAATCCATGCACACACATGTCTCCAAAGTCAACTGTTTAGGCAAGTGGTGCACTTTGCAAAAGCAACACGGGAAAAACAAAATTCTGATCTCTAACAAGCATATAAAAAGTAAGGGTAAATAATAATGTACAATATCATTTTGCTATATTTACGAATACCAACATGTTATCAAAAAACAACTTGGGATAACCAAAATGCAGGTTGATGAAAAAATTCCATAGTGAAATCAATAGAATTGAGATCAAAATAGTTAATAAATCCTCCCCTCCCCCAAAAAATAACCTTAGTAAGGTATATCAAAGAAAAAATAACAATAAAAAAAGCACAAAGCCTGAAAAAAGACCAGACTAGACCAGACGAGATGATACAATTAATAGACAAAATCAAGAATCACAACAAATCCACAACTTAGTAACAAAGAGCACCAAAAGTTCAAAATCGGTAGACAGATTCACATATCATAAGGTTCGAAATGACTATTGAAAGATCATGGAACTGAGCTCCCCTCATTAGTTGGAAATAGATTTGTAGAGCAACAAGGTTTCAGCTCATCAGAGTTGAGTTCATTCACCTCGTTGGCTTGTTGGGTTCATTGCAAACTTGCAAAAATGGGGTTGTTCGGGTTTTCTGGTTCATGATTTCATTTATGTTGGGAGCTATGAGTCTAGACCATGGTTAAAACATGTATTCATTAAATTGACATAGAAAAAGAACCACACAAGCATTCCAAGTTTTATCAAATTTCTCACTAATCAGCCTCAAATATCAGAACCTTTGGACAGATATCATACCACGCAAATTCTCAACATCAAACTTGACTATTCTGATAAGCCTGGATTAAAGAAACCAACAGACATTCATCTGAATAAAGTTAAAAGTTAAGGAAGACAGAAGTCTACCTGTTGCACGCTGCGCTTTTTAATAATGCGGACCCCAAAACAGAAAATGCGAGTGTCACAGCTCGTCAAAGAAATCTTGTTAATTCCTTCTTTTATTTTTGACGTGATCTAACAAAAGAGAAATAAAATAAGAAATTGAATAAAACCAAAATAGACAAAACTTAACTTAATATAACCCTCTAAAATGATTAGACTAAATAGCTCCCAGCATAAATATCTAAATTTAAAATACACGTTAAATAAGACAACTACAGAAAATTCGGAATAGTTATAATAATTAGTGACAATAAACTTACAATTGCGCCATCATCGCGACCATTAGCCCCAAGCAACTGAGAACCAGGTCTATTAATTGCACGAACATCAAAGCCTATATGATCATAATCAAATAGAACAAACATTCAATACAACCACAAAATTCATGAATTCCTAAAAATAATTGATTTTTCACATGAAAATTATGAGCTTTTAATTAGATAATAATATAATATGCAAACAAAATAAAATCTACAACATGAAACAAAATCAATTAATGGAACTAAAATAACACCACAGGAGAAGATTACTTGCAATAATAATAACATACCATTGACCAGTAGGTTTGTATGTTGTGGCCATTGCATCCTGAATGAAACTTTGTCATTCAGAAGCATACACCAAGCCTGCATATGATGTCATTTAGCAAACATAACAAAATGCTTAAATAGATTAGTAGAAAGTAACATGTTAATACTTACACTGAGAAATCAAACTAACCTGAATATCAAAATCCGATTTTAATACTAAGTCCTTGGTTGCTCTGGTAATTAGAAATGTTTTCTCAAGACTCTGCACGGGATTGGATCTGAACCATTCAAACAGAAATACGGTCAAGTCTTTCAATTCAAGTAGAAAGCCACTCCAGAAACTAGGTCTTGTCTCATTATTCTTTCACGCACTGTTCTTAAGAAAATGATAAGTTATGTAGACGGATTGTCTAAAGTGAAAAATAATTTAAGACAATTATTCCAAACACGCCACTTATAACGAGTAGGAGGGAGTATATGTTTGTGTTGATGTTGAATCTAAAAATATTTAAGAAACTCAGAAAGAAAAACGAAAAGTTTATTTTTGAGGAGGGATAATCATGATCAGGCAAGAAAGTATTTTCACCTTAGAAACAAATTTGACAGCCAGACAATTTTAGTTGACACTATAAATATGAAATAACATACATTACAATCCATTTAAATGGCACAAAACCTAAATGTAGAATGTATATAGAAAGTAACCAAAAGATATACACAGCAGTTAAAGCCTGCGTATTAACATTCACTGTTGGAATTAGACATCCCTCCTTCACCCGACCCTCACTTCAACCCACTGCTCTAAATGAAACGGATAGTAGTCAAGCCAAAATGAAGAACAGAACATGTATACCAACTTAGGCAACAAAATATCTCCTAAAGGCATATAAGATACGGAGAATAATAGATTCAGTTCGAGCTTAGAAAACAAAATATCTTCTAATGGCATAGAAGATATTACAAAAACAATATATCTTGCTCAAAGACAAATAAACACAATTACACAACTATGTCCAACTACAACAAAATAACACAAGGTACTCACCCATCAGTTGGAATACGGGTTGTAGTCAACTTCACTGGAAATAAAGGGTGTGTCATTGAAACCGAAAACCTGTAACAGAGAAGAGCGTGTGGAGTAAAGAAAATGAAAAATAATAAAAGGATAGGAAACTTCTTCCAATTACACGAGAACATAACGAAATAAGAAAACTAAAGAGCCATCTAATGCAACAAAATAGTTAGCATACTCAGGAACCATATTTACTAATTTGAATCTCTAGTCATAACTCAGACTAAGGTGTTTGGGTGAACATTTGTTAAATGTAATTTTGGAATAACATGAATTTGAACATTTTGGTTTGAAGTGAAGTTATCTATATTTTGATATTTTCACTCTAAAGACAAGTTTGATGTAAAATTTGGTGTGAAGGTTATAACCTAACGCAAAAGATATTTTTCATCACTTCTGGTCAAACCAAGATTTGGAGGCAAAATCAATTTTATACAACAAAAACCAAACATTTTTGTTTTTACTAAAATGAAGTTTGATAATAGACCAAATCATTTTTATACTCTTTATTCATGAAACCAGAGATATACTAAGATATAACTCCTATCATAGATGAATAAATATGCATAAATTGACCATCTTTACAACTATCAATCTGATTATGATATTTAGAAAGAATTGATAGTGTTTTTTATGTCTCGAGAAAAAAAACACTTTTCAATTAAAAGATGTTTGAAAATAAAAATTATAAAACTAATGTTTTTTTTTTTAAAAGAAAAGAGACAGTAAACAAAAGCAGACCTTTCTTGTAAGTTGAAAATAGTACAGTGGCATCATAAAAAGTTTAAAAAAATGCTTCATGATGGAATAAATTCTTTTTAAACTGAAAACAAATTGTTCCTAAAATCACAACACTACTTCTTATATCAGTTCAATGGACCAATAGCAGATACAATAGCTCAGTAATAAAAAATCACAACCGAATTACTGCAACCAACACAAACCCTTGTCAAGATAGAAACACAAATAACTCTGGCAGTGAGCATAAAAATAATTCAACACAATACTATAATATGGAGAAAAAACTTTCAAACAATTTATTCCCACCCCATATAAGCTGAAATAACAAGGGAAGGGAACATGACATACGGGTCTGCTCGACTGAGACGGCATGTTTCACAATAAAATGTATCCGGGATTGGTGGCATTCCTTTACTGGGTCTATCCGGAATAACAACACAGTTGAGATGCTGAGAGACGGGGCATTTTGTATCTTCACACTGTAAACAATGTCATAGTTAGCAAATATAAGCTGTCAGTAGAGTTCTTAACTAAAATCACATGACATCAAGGAAAACAATGGAAATGATCAATGAAATCATATACAAATGTAAAGAAGCATATACTTTGATGTATCATGAGGATAGAAGAAATATATTGAATATTACACCTTGATCAGTAGATCTGTTTCCATTGAACTCCCACAGAGACAGCGAACCTTCATATCTGCTAGAAAGGAATCATCAACTTCACCTTTAATTCTCGCATTAGTTCTGTCTGAAGCACCCTGCCCCTTTGATGCTAGATCAGTGGCTCCAGATGCCTGTAGTTTTCTGGGGGAAGAGAAAACACAAAATATCATGAAAAAAAAAAACTATGATATACACCAGTACAGTCAACTTAAAGCAACCCTAAAAACAGAACACCGTATCATGTGTTAACTGAGTTTATCTATAAAACCTCAGCCACTACATTAATCTGAAGTATAACAAAACTAGATGAAGAAAATATCATCAACATGTTGTCTCTAACACTGACCTATATGTGTCATCCACTAACTTCATCACTTCTGCTTTTCCAAGAACATTCTTCTTCTTGGCACATATTTTGAAAACTGAAAAATAAACAAGTTGCTTAGTTTACAAGAGAAAGCGGAGGAACATAAGAAACACAACTTCACATATTAAAATCACAAAACTGAACTAGAAGCATAAAAGTTAAATATTCCAAAGTTTTCATATTCGATAAACCATGTCATAGTAGAAGTTACCACTACTCCTAAAGCAGTGTTTGAATAGAAAGTTAAAATTAGCAGGTCCAACTAGTCCAAGCCTCAAATAAGATTGGAAATGCAACTCAAACAGTATAAACATGTTTGACTCAGACATTTTGGAGCCAGCCAGCTTTCTCATTTGAAGATATTCAAAGACAAATAAAACATTGTATAAAAACTTCAGTATAAAATATAAGCTTCCATTTTTTCACACAAATCAAATAGACAAAAAGTTACAAAATATAAAATAGAATAAGTGAGTACTAAAGGTTGAGCCATCTGTGTGTCTATAGTATATGATAAGAGATCATACCTTGTTCATCTGTGAGAATAGATAATATCCTATCAACAAGATCCTACATAAAATGGAGAATTGACATCACTACATTGCACGAAAACTCCAGAGAATAGATAGCATAGCATGATGTGCAGTTAAGCAATTAAAGATGATAATGTATCGGTTATACTCCAGAGTTACAACATTCGCGTGAATGTCCATTCCTCGGATTGACAATATCAATACTCTCTTAAGAGTTTGATTATTAAACCTGTGTTCTTGATTGCATGTAACCAAGTGGGGTCAATGGTATAAATAAATAATGTAAGTATTTAGCTAGTAATAAGTCAACAAACACCATTCAATCACACTTAAATTTAAAAACCACTCTTAAGTTTCAAAGACAACATCTCAATATTGAAGATGTATGATCAGTAATATTGATTATCTCACCTGCTTCTTTCCTTGCTTTGAAAGTCCTACCTCAGTAAGCACATCTTTGAGATCTTTTACACGAAAATATACCAATTTCTCCTGCATGAGAAGTTACTAGGTCAGTAAAGTAGGAAAGCATACCCTCGTAGCATTAAACCCCAAAAATAAAAAATAAAACCAGCACTAAATACCTGGTTAACAAAGTTTTACAATAAGTAAACAAAACAAAATAAAACTGAAAGACCAACCAATGAACCAGATACGAACTAGACTCAAAAGCATATAATGTCTGTTAAGAATTGTGGTTTGACCTAACTTACGCATACAAAACCGGTTTGTAGGGTGAGGATTGCCCCCACTTATAAGCAAATATTCAGGTCATATATTGTCCGATGTGGCACTCTTAACACACCCCTTCACGCCCAGGACTGGACATCTGGAGCGTGGAAATAAATGGTGGGTGGCCCGATAGCAGAAATCTGATAGCTGGTGGTCCAACGGATCTTAAACCTGGCTCTGATACCATGTTAATAATTGTGGTTGGGCCTAACTCAACCCTACAAAACCAGCTTGTAGGGTGCCCCACTTATAAGAACATGCCCAGACCATATATTGTCAAAAGTGGGACTCTTAACATTGTTGTTTACCAGGAAAATAAAAAACTGCATTATACATTATTGCTTCGGCACTTTAACAATGAGAACCCTAGCGCGCGTAACCCGTAAGAAATAGGTAAACGGAATCCATCAAGGTAGGCACCACAATCCAAACAAACAACCAAAAAAAACCTTTTTGATTGTACAAGGTTATCAAAAATGCTACTTTAACATACATTTCAGATTGATCAACACTTAAATCACAAAACATAAAAATAAAAAAAGCAGCCACAAAAATAATGTTGATCTTAAATTGCAATCCTCTTACAGAAAAATTGAACATCAAACCTTGCAACTAGAAATCTAGTCAACATAACCCATAAGAAATAGGTAAACAGAATCCATCAAGCTAGACACCACAATTCAAACAAACCAAAAAAAAAAAAAAACCTTTTAGATTGAACAATGCCACAAAAAAGTCTACTTACTTTAACATACATTTCAGAGTGATCACAAATACTATTGATCTTAAATTGCAATCCCCTTACAGAAAAATTGAATAGCATAGCATAGTATACCTGGCAACGAGAAACCAAATCCATTTTGCCCAAAATCCTCAGCAATAACAAACAGCTCTAAGCATGCTACCACAACCAATAACTGATCAATTCAATTCAAATCAAATCAAATAAACAAATCAAAAGTAAAAACATGGAAAAATAATCAGAAGCAGAATGATTAGTCGAAAAATCATAACGTACCAAGAGAAGGAGAAAGGGAAGTGGCAATTAGGGTTTGGGTTTGGGATGGGATAGGAGCTTATGTACGCCTGAGTTGGCACTTGACTCTGTTATGGTATGGTGATGTGCGTTTCGTAATGACCCAAAAAACAAAACCTTCTAGTTCAATGTTCGGATCTATCGGTGTTTATCCAATCCAGTTTATTAACGGCAACACGTCCGGTCATGTCTAAGTTCAATGGAACACACCAACCGTTTCCTTTTTGCTTTGTTTTTCATAGTATTTTTCCTTTTTTTAGGGTTTTTGATCATGTAATTAGGATTTTTGACCTTAATAGATGACTTAGATTGTTGTAATTTATAGTAGAATCTTAGGATTTATTGTTGAAAGGTTGAAAAAATTTTGATTTTCTCTGTCACGCCTGAGAGTCATTTAGATGTGAATATGTTTGGTTTGGCGATTGAGTTTTTAATCGTTGTCGTGTAAGATTTTCATCTTAATTTCGTCAGAGTTTTAAAGGTGAGCTTCTGGGTTAGGTGGTTTTGGTAAACATGTCGCATGAGCATGCATGCATATTTCTGGTTATAAGTTCGTTTAGGATTATAGTATAAACATAGAATCGGTTAGGTATTTAATTTCAGTTGACGGCTTAAAACAAATTTGATTTTCAACGATACATTTGAAAATGACTCAAACTTAACATGTGTTTTGTTTTGCGTTTGAATCTTCAATCGTGTCTGTGTTTCATCTTAGTTTCATCGGAGCTCCAGAATCAAGCTTCAATGTTTAGGTGGTTTTGGTAAACATGTTGTATAAATATATAGATTTCTGGTAACTAGCTCGTAGAGGATTATAGTATAAACGAAGAATTAAATTGGGTATTTAATTAGGAATGTATGTAAGATTCTTCAAACCACATACGGTAAGAAAATCTAGTCGCAAATAATGGCTCAAAATGAATCTCAACGTGTGTAGAAGTGTATCATGTGTCTCTATGTCGCTAGTTTATGTTAGAACACCAGACATAGTTATGGAGCTTCAAATTTATATTTATTGATATAGATGTCAAAGATTTGTTATTTCTTTATATTTCATTATATTCCATGATATTTACTTTCTTTATGAATCATAGATTATGCATTTTATCTCTTCTCCCGTTTTCGATTCAAGCCTTAGGAAATTTGTTGGCATTTAAATAATTTTTTATTATAAAAATAATATGTATTGAGTTTAGTTTAAAAAATTATCTACAAAGAAAATAAAATACGTATTTATATATTCACCCTCAAAAATAAATATTAACTCGTGATAGGAGATGTAATAGGTCAACACTTGTTTGTGTAAATTAATTACAAATCACATAATAACACTATCAGTCAATTTTTCTAATCTATATAGTAAACTTTAATATATTATGTGCTCATTTGAACTTTTAAGAAAATGGAATAAATTTCTTCAACTTTAATGCAGAAATATGTTTTCTTAAAATCTTTTTTAAATTGTTCCACAGTTGATTTAATTGTTATATTATGCAAAACTTTAACTTGATTGCAAAATACAAAAGTTTGATGTCCTAATTATCATAATCAATTTATTATCAACGCCAATCAATTAAAATTGGAACTTCATTTGATTGAAATTGAGGTATTCCAATTGGAGCACTAACTATGTAAGCGTCTTTAGTAGACGACACAATATTTGTGTTTTCTCTTTGCGGTCATGACATGTGCATGTCACAACCTCTCTTAGTCTTGAAGACAATAAGATCAAAAAAATTACTTTGTTTAATGTCAATGAAACACAAGGATCGTTTTCTTTTTACTTTATTTTTGCATAGTATTTTCCTTTGTTTAGGGTTTATGGTTGTGTAATTAGGATTTTTTACTTTAATAGAAGATAATTTAGTATTTTTTTAATATAATGTTAGGATTTGTGAGATTAATAAGTTATGGTTGAATGCTTGAAATAAATTTGCTTTTCTACGCCACACACGAAAGAGACTATAACAATATTGTTTGATTTTGTATTTGAGTCATGTGGTCGTGTAATGTTTTCATCTTAATTTCATTAGAATTCTAAAGGCAAGATTTTATGCCATGTGATTTTGATAAACATGTCGCATCAGCGTACATACTTCTGGTTACGAGCTCATTTAGAATTATAGTATAAATTAAGAATTTGTTTAGTACTTAATTATAGCTAACAGATTGAAACAAACTTGGTTTTAAGCGCCATACTTGAAAGTGACTCAAACTTGGCTTGTGTTTGATTTTGTATTTGAATCTTCAAATGTGGTTGTATAATATTTTCATGTTAGTTTCATCGATGCTCCAAAGTCAAGCTTTACGTCTAGGTGGTTTTGATACCAGACATAGTCATGGAGTTTTAATTTTGCATTTATTAATAGAGATGGCAAACGATTCATTATTTCACTATTACGTAAAAGGCATTTAACAACGGTTAGAAAAGATATATAACCACGTGGGACCATGTGTTGTTATGTAGCATGTGGTTGTATATGCGGTACTTACAATCACGGTCTCATGATCGTTGTTATATTTTAGAAAGCGTGTGTCATATCACAACGGTTCGTTAATCCAACCATTATGATAAAACTAAAGGTCCCGAATTCAATTCTCAGCATCAACATTTTATAATTTATATTATTATGGCAACTGTTCAATATACAATCACAGTTAGGTTTTATAACCACTGTCAAAACTTTCTCTATTTTAAATATACAATTCTATGCTTCTCAAATTCTTCCCATTTTTTATCCTGTAACTATTATAATCATATTAGAGAATTTACAACAACCCGTATTTTTATTAACCATGCATAAAGAGCATAAAAAATAGCTAACATTGTGTATCAAAAGCCAAAATTAATATTTACATCAAACACAATATATTTAAGTCAAAAGTAATATTCACATCATCATATACAGAAAATAAGTCATTAGCATATCTCAATAAATCAAATAGCAGGACCCTTAAGCACATTATGGATATCCGCGCAATGTTTACGAAGATCAATAAAGTCCTCAATGGAGAATGAGATTACGTCGTTAAACATCTACATAAGTAAGAGCAAAAAAGTGTTTAAAATATATATCAACTTATATATTAATATATGTAAACATATTATGACATAACCTTATCTCATGAATCAATAATACCGGCAAGAACAATGTTTAACATGTGTTTCATGACATAATATCCACACTCGTATATCTTGGGTTGTATCCTCGTCTATAAATTAATGTAACCACACATGAATGTAATCACACATGAATATAACCATACATGAATGTAAATGAAAGAAACAGGTAATTGAGTCACTTACTTTAGGAGAGATCCATGAGGGCTTTCTTCTAATTTTGTTCATCATATTCACTTGCTCCACAATATTGTAGATTGAATATGAATTAAACATATTACATGCTAAACTACTTACAATATCAAAGAAAATAAATTAAACATACACTTACGAATTAATAATCTCTTTTATTTTCTTGTCGAATGAATTATGCAAGGAACACGGTATAGTTATCGTATTCATCTTAAATGATATTATGATCAATTGATAATGACCACTGAATAAACATGAGCATATATATTATTAGTATTTGCTAAAGTAAGACTAAATATAAAATACATAAATATCAATTACAAAAATACGTACAAACAGAGAAATAGTATGAAGTAACATTCTTTTCCTCCCTCATTTAACTGTTTTTCAAGTAATCTTGAATATCTTTTGGTTGATTATACACCCATCGAGTGAAAAGCGGATCCAAGATTTCATAAATACTCAATTTATTTAACTTTATACAAACACGGTGAATGTATCTAAATGCTTAAAGAAAATGAATAAATTAATTGAGGAAATACAAAAAATGATAATATTCTAAAATGACATGTATCATCAATTATATACTTAAGTGCACCAAGCTTGCAATATCCCTACGTCCAGACACGTATATCCCGCAATGTTCAAGTATAACATGGTGATTTCATTTGAGTTAGGGTCCAATAACTCATTGTGGTTAGTTGGAGGGGGGAGGGGCTGAACAATTATTTCCTTTTGTAGAAGCACGACATACAACACTTCTACTTGGAGTTTAATCATGATCATGATCATCATCACCATCAGCATAATATTGATCTTCATTTGTATGTTGTTTGGGGTTTTCACTTAATCTCTATATCATAATATTCAGTTAGAACAAAAATAAACACGATATATATCATACATTTCCAATAAAACACTAAAATCTCAAGTAAAGCATATACCGAATATAACTCTTGAAACCTTTCCATATATTTCTCCATTTTTTTCTCTCCTCTTCAAACATCCTCCTTTATTCTTCTAATTGCTTCTCAACATTCTCAATCTTTTGTTTTTATGCATTAAATTTCGAGCTTTTAGTATTTCTTTAGACCCAAAGAATAACCTCGAGCCGACACTTTCTCCAACACCTCGGACACGTCCACCATGCTCATCTGTTCTGATTGCTTCTACTAATATGTCATGTCGTACTTCTGGAACAAATGCGCCTTCACGGGCCGCCTCAACTAACTTATTCTACACAACATGAGCAACTTACATATATTGTTACCAACGTATTTAAATAACAAATAACATAAGAAAAACAAATCATACTTATAATTTTTCGGCAACTACTTTTGATGCCTCAGAGGTGTACTCTCCATTTGGCCTTAATTGAGCCCTATTCCATTTCTCAATGTCTTGATGGTGGAGATGGGATGCGATCATCTTCTGTTTGTGGTTATTTTTCAAGCATGATTCTTTTCTCAAGTTTTCTGTAACCCCTACGAGATAATCTATGGGGGTACAT